GCAAGTTGTACTTTTTGCATTTCACTCGGTTGCACAATTCCTCTCTGGTGAATTTTAGAATATAAGTAAATTTACTTATAAAATTATTTTTAGTTTACTTTAAAAATTATATAAAATATAAGCTTATGTAATAGAATTTTTTCTTTATATAATTTATTTTTTACAGAAATTAATTTTTACTTACACAATGAAAAATGACAATTTATATAATATTATTTTATAAGTAAATTTTATTTATATTTGGTCGCCTATTGTGGCTGGATAGTTCAGTTGGTTAGAGCGTCAAAAAACGAAAAGTTAAAACCCGGGCTGTTGTACTATACGAGTTCAAATCCTGCCACCGCCAACTCAGCGCTAGAGTAGTACTTCGTAGGCAAAAATGTTGGTCAGTAACGGACGCTACTTTGGATTAGTCTTAATGACTGTTTGTGGCTGTTGGAATGCTAAGCCAACAATATCTTTGGATATAAGAACATTGTATAGAAAAATATAGCATGAAAATTCAAATAAATAAATAAAAATAAAAATAAATATTACTTTTATGTAATTCTTTTAATTCATATAAAAGTTTTTTTTACAATTACGGTAATATAATATTTTTTTTTTAAGTTATTTTTATATGTAAATGTAAATTACATTTTGAGGAACTATTAAATTATGTTTATATGTATTTTATTGTATATTAATATTTATATGTAAAAGTAAATTTGCTTTTTTATGAGACTTACTTTTACTTGTAAAAGTAAATTACTTTTTGATGTTATCGGTTTTTACATAAGTTACTTTTGAAAGTAAAAAGCTTATTTTGTAATGTAAAAGTCAAATCATAAAAACTAATTACTTTTTTGTAAATGTAAATCAATTTGAACGGTGACAATTACATACATAATAAAATTTTTCAAAAAAATTTACTTACTCGTGTAAGTAAAAAAAAAGTAGGGGAGACCGGGGCTAGTTGGCCGCAGGGGTAAGTTAACGAATTGCGTTTATCTTTAAAGCCTTTCATCAGAAAGTGATAAAAATTACACAGAATCTTCCTAATTGACTGTTTCATCATTCAATGTAGTATTGTCAGGATTCGCGCATGCGCATGGGAGATATTAAGATTTAAGTGTTTTTTGGACAAAAACGTAACTTTTGAAACATCGCTTCCTTTTTACTTTACAAAGAAAATAGTTAGTCAAATGGAAAAAAAATTATTGTAAAAGTTCTAGCCACAATTGGTTTACTATATTCAGTTTGACTTTTTTTAAAAGTTGCCGTTTTTCAGGATCTATAGACTGTTTATTGAAAAAAAAGCCTTCGGGGTAAGTTGACAAAATTTTTACGGGGTAAGTTGGCTCATAGCATTTACTATGGAGAAAAATATTTATTTTTATAAAAATAATTTTTTTAATTTTTTTAATTTTTAACAATATTGAAAAAACTTATTCTTACAAAAAAATTATAAAAATTTTTTTTTTAGGTTTTTTGTAACAGGTAAAAAGAGGGCTGCTGTTTTGGCTGTTATACGTACTAATATTTAGCACAAGCTAAAAATAATATCAAATTATTAGCTTAAATTGTTGCCAAAATTAATAGGTAAAAAATTTCTATTAATTTTGCACTTAATAGTACATTAATAATCACGTTTATAGTTTGCGTCAACTTACCCCGTGGTGGGGTAAGTTGGCGCAATTTTTTTTTTTTTTTTGAGGGCCCCGTAAGGCCCCAAGAATTTTTTTTTGTAAATCCATGAAACTTTTATAAGTTACCCAAGTTCATACGCTTTGAGACTACACTTTAATATTTTCAAAAAAGTGTGCTATTAGGGCTACAGAGCTCATAGAGTAAAAACCGAGCCAACTAGCCCCGGTCTCCCCTAAGTAAAAGTGCCATCCCAACTCGACATGTCCAGCATCCGGTGTACAGTCTAAAATGACTGAAAAATATTTTGTTTCTTTTATTGAGGTTAATATTTATTTTTGAATTTGATTTTCAAAGATATTATTATTTCATTTAAAAAGCGATTTCCTAGATAATGTGGCTTGTGGTTCTCACCGAACCAACAGGGAATCATGGACGCGCTTTAGAAAGTCCAAAACCGTGCTATCAAAACAATATCTTATATTAAACATAAAACCCCTGTGCAGAGAAAAGCTATATTTGGCCTCACAAAACTCAAAGAGAGAAGAAAAAGAGGTGATTTAATCTAGGTTTTTAAATTCATGCACGAATTTGAAAAAATAAACTTCCACGTACCACTAAGTCGACCATCATCATCAAAGTACATTATGCAAGGTCATAATGAACGACTGGAACAATTTTTCAAAACTTGAAAAATTGTTGCGAGTAGTAGTAAATATTTAAAAGTATTGACCATTGAAATAAACTAAACTATTTGAAAATAGTTTGATATTGCGTGTTTCTTATCACGTAGCAGCAAACAAAAGCTTTTGAAACGTTAATATAATCAAGGACGTATAAGAGATGGACGTGCAACCTATTGTTGTTTATGCTAGCTAAGCTCAATAATTAGGCGTCTGTATTGTTTTAAGTCTATTGTTCAAACAAAAAATAGTTATGATTCTATACGTCGATTTTCTAACGATTTATTGAACTTGTTTAGTCAGTCTAGTCAGGGCAGTACTTTAATTGTTATAAGATTAACATTGTTCGTAAATGTTCACAATTATATGTAAAAGTTGTGTATTAAAAATATGTAAAATGTAGTTCTTTCTGATTTTATAATTAAAAAAACTAATTTTTAAAGCAAACAGCAAGTAAGCTATTGCGAAGTTATCATCGAAGTTATATTAGTAGTTAAGAAGTCATACAATAAAAAAAACTACACCTTTTAATAATGATCTTGTTAAAACAATCTTTTTATAGTTAACTTTATCTAAATACACTAAGGTAATTTGGTTAATTGTAGCCTAGTTTTGAAAGCAAACTGTTTGTTATAAAAATTAATAATAAAATTAGTATTAATATAATTAAACTAAAACAGTTTGTATCACGTTAGGATTATTAAATTAATTTCAAACCCGGAGTTTTTTTTATTTATTAACATAATGTATAATAAAAAAAAGGCAAAAAAAAAGCGGCATGTCGGAGAAAACAAAAAAATATAATAAAATGAAACAAAATGAGCAAAGAATTTTGATTCTGAATGGTAAGAATACTAACTGAAATATAAAATATAAAACTTGACTAAAATATCCAATTCATAAATCTTTTTTAAAAAGGTCTCTCTATGTGTTAATTTTATTGTTGACGTTTACTTAAAAACAGGAAGTATTTGTCTGAGTATAAAAAATCTGTTATTATATCTTTGTATTTGTAATAAGCATCGTTTAGTTATGTTTGATTGGAACAATAATTTGCAAGCACATAAATGATTCAATTTTTACAAAAATCACTTTACAGAATCGTCTATTAAATCTTTACTAAAAATCTTTGATTGGCAGCCATTTTAATACTTTTTCGCTAATGACGGAATATTTTGATAAGATCGTGAAAATGCATAGCTCGCTGATTTTGGCGGTTTCTTTGATGTAAAACAAAAGGTTGGACGTTCATCTCTTATACGCCCATGATATAATCAATTAATATGGTTTTTTTTATTGACGTCATTGACGCGACAATTCTATTGAGTTATTAACAAAGATACTATACTTAAAATTCTTTTTTTGATATCATATTAAATATTAGCGAATTCAATACTCATTGGAGAGTGTTTGACACGATACTCTTGGCAGCCATTGCAACCGAGGTAATAGCGAGATAGAGTAGCAGCACTTTTTTTATATTAGAAAAGTCAACGAAAGTGTATGCTATTATCTAACTTACGCAAATATCTAACTTTCTTCAAATTTGTAATGTTAAAAACATACTAAAACATATATAAAGTTTTCCAGTTTTACTTTCACTGGAAAATTGCTTTGTGGTAACATTGCCTTAAGATGTGATTTGTAGCACTTAATTCCATTTGATAAAGTCTTTTTTATTTTATATACTTTTGAAACTTTATCAATGAATAAGTTTGTGTAGCCGAATGGTTAGAACGCAATGCTCTGCAACGGTAGTGCCAGGTTCGATTCCTACGAGCGGCCTTTTTTTTTTTTTTTTAATATAATCTTTTTTTATTTTTCTAAAATACTTTGTAAACACTTTGAAGAAAAAAGTTTGGTTTGAAAGAATTTGTTTTGCATTTTAAATAACAAATATTAAAAAAAAGGCAAGCCTATGATTTAAACTTGCCACGCGGCAATCATAATCAATTAAGGGGTTTGAAAAATATGTTTTTATTAAAAACAAAATTCAAAATTTCAACTTTATATTTGAAATAAACCGTTTTATCAACATTAAAATTTTTAATTAAATAAAGTAATAAGTTAAAATACATAATATCAAGGTAATAAGAAAATATAAAGTTTTACAGCTATTTTACTACACCCCCGTTAATCATTCTAAAACGTGTGCTTAACATTGACAGAATTTAAATAACTATCATAATAATATTTTTAAATATTTTAGCGGTTGTTAGCATTTCAACAATTCTTAACTATTTCCTATTTTGAACTTCTTAATTTTCTTAGTTATTTTCTGTTTTAATTCTGATCTATATTTTATATATTTGTATTATATATATTTGTATGTTACGGTTATGTAGAGTTTTTTTTTTTACGCAGAGTTTTTTTTATATGTGGGGCTCGGCGATAAGGAAAACTGTGCCTTCTTCTTGCTCCTTCCATTAATTTTGATATATGTATATGCAATCAGGCCCGGATTAAGACGTAAGCAGTGTAGGCTTCAGTCTACACAACCACGGATTTAGGGGCATGGGCACTACATACTATCCTCTTTTATTTATTTTTAAACTAGAAAAATTGTACAATCTGTAAAATAATTATTGACAATAAGCACAATACTATCCTGATGTTATTTTTATTTAAATAATATCGGACAAATGATATAACTATTACTAATAATTGTTCTACTACTTCTACTATTATTCAATGTACTGCGTCTTCTTCATTCAATCTTCAGCGTCTTCTTCAGATCAATCAGTTGTTGATGTAAATGAGGAATCAGAAAAATCTGAGCTAAATGTCATTCCTAATCCTCTTACGCACAATAATACAAATAATTTTATAGATCCAGCAGATTGGACAAATAGTAATATATGTCGTAATTATATTGCAAAATTTGGATATGATCAGAACATTGATCCAGATTTTACCTCATCAAAACGAACTTATTCTGATTATGATCGTTATTGTAGTAAATCAATCTTTACGAAAAATCGCAAAAACGGAGAAAATGTTTCACGGAAATGGCTTGTTTATTCAATTTCAAAATTTGTATTATTTTGTGCTCCATGCAAATTATTTGGATGCAGTACTCAACTGGGAGATGCTGGATTTAATGATTGGAAAAATGGACATTTAGTTATTTCCAGGCACGAAAATTCTTTGGCACATAAAAATAATACATTAAGTTTTATTACATTACAAAGTGATGTAGGTAGAATCGACACTCAATTGGCAACACAAGTGACTGATGAAATGAATTACTGGAAAGCTGTTCTTCATCGAGTTGTTGAAGTAATTAAATTTCTCGGTGCAAAAGGTTTATCATTCAGAGGTGATAATGAACAATTGATAATGAGAGGTGAAAAAGAAAAATTACAATCAACTGACATTGATCTTCATACAGTATTAGACCTATATAATGGCCTTGAAAATTATTTGGTACAGATCAGATATGATTTTGATGTTTTTGAAAATAAGGCTGTAGAATTTACTGGTTGTTCGGACTATGCCAAAGATTCCAAGAGAAAAAAAAAGAGAAAGGTATGTTTAACATATTAATTTTAAAACTAGCTGTAAGCAACCCGTAATACGGGTTAGTAGTAAATAAATCATTACTAACAATTTGATCTTTATTTACTTTCTCTAATGAAATATAAATTTATTTATACATTTTTTTAGTTGAGCTCACTTTTATTTTTCTTGGCTTCTTAGTTTAAGAGAACTCTTAACTTCATTAAAGATAAAGTTAACCATAAAATGACTTAAATTATATGCACAGAAAATCGATGTCAAATTTTTAAATTCCGTAAAATTGTTTAGGTAAATATTGGGAATATATTCTACTCTTAATTTTGCTTTAAGCTGAGTCGTTTCTTTATTTTTTAAACTTTTCATTTTACTGAGTGAAGAGCTTCAAAATATGTCACTATCGCACCTAAACCTTTTAAATGTTATTAATATATTTTTTAAATATTTTTAAAACCTCTAAAATATTACACCCAAACTTGTAGGCAAAGAAGTTGGATATCCGGAAAAACTATAAGTTGAAAAATATATCGCAATTCCGAAAAGGGCTTACCCTGCATACGGATCCTATATATTATGATAAAGATTATTATTTAAACCAACTTTTTTTTTAATTACTAATCCAGCAGAAACTTGTTTTTATAAAAAACAAAGGAATATATGGATTTACTATAATAGCTAACGTGTATCAACATATTTATTTCAGCATACATCCAATCCATATTTATACTAATTTTATAAAATACATTTTGCCTTAACTTGGCGTTAGATTATTAGTTTTATTTCATTAATTTTTGTATAGATCAGGTTAATAATAAAAGCAATCGGATTTTACTCAATATTTTTGAAGTAATTATTCAGCTTTAATAAAATTGATAAAATCATAAAAGACAGTTAAAAAATATATTTAAACCTTTGTTCACTTTTTGAAAATCCGTAAAAAAGCAAGTATCAAGTTTACTTATCTTTAAAAGAAATTTATTTACATGATATATAGTTAAATATGTAACAAAAATATTTTAAAACAGAAGCATATATAAAACACATTTTTCTTAAAAAAAAACAAAGTTGAAGCCACCATTTACAGCACCGAGGAGCCAAGCATAGCCTATTGTAAAGAAAACCATATCAAATAATTTAAAATGTTTATTACCGATAGGGACGACAATTAAACATATTTAAAAAGCTACGTGATTCCATATTAGTAGAATTGTTATAGAAAAGTATATTAAAAAAGTATATTTAAAAAAAAGTGTATTAAATAGAAAACAGATTTTTAAAAACTACCTAATTTTGTAAGCATTTTGCCAATGATGTTCAATTTTAAAACCAATATCTTTAATGAAAAGCCGACTTGTTTCACTAAAATCATTCAAAGAATAAAATTATTAACACTTATAGATGAAGAAAAAAAAAATGAATGAGATATAAACAATCGTACTATAGTATTATGAATATTTCATATTATATATGAAAAAAAAAAACAACAACTGGAAAACAGTATACCTGCTTTTGGTAACCTATTGTGATACTGCAGCAGTTGCTGTAGGGATGCAGCTGTTCTTTTTAGTGTTGTTCAAAAACGTAATTTTTATGTTGGCTTTTAGTAAACTTTAGTTTAATTTAAAAGACATCACAACAAATTTAAAATATTCAAAATAAAAAGAGCAAAACATAAAATGCTTTAAGGAGCCAAACTATAAACATAAAAGATAAAGAATAGAATCGAGATAAATAAATTGTATTTATATAGCTAAATATATTACCTTGGGTTTTGGTAAATTTTACTATCGGATCTGGAATTTCTGCACAAATCAAATTATCGATATCCTGTGATGTTTGAAGTTTATCATCATTTGCTAAATGAAGTAAAATGTGGGCATGCGGCAAACCACGCTTTTGAAACTCAATAACCTGAACATGCGTTACAACTTTGCCTAATACACCATGTTTAAATATATCATTGAGGAGGTTATTTAACTTGAGTTTAAATACTCGAGTAACCAAATCAGGTCTATCATTCGCATTCTGACCCGGATATAAATTTTCTGTTATTTCACGCCATTTTGGGTTGCAAGTAAAAGTTATAAAAAGATCTGGTTTACCATACTTTTTAATAATTGCCATAGCATCTTCAAAGTTTTCTTTTAAAGCTCTAGGACTTCCTACATAAGATGATGGCAAAACTACTACTCGTCCTGGTCTAATATTACGATCATTGGCAATGTTGTTAATATGTTCATGTAAGGCATCGTACTGCTCGCTTCTCAGCTTATTTTGATTATTTCTGATAAAAGCAAGACGCTGGCCTTCAATTTTTACATATGCATCTACAGCATATTGCTGAAATAGTTTCTTGCCATTAAATAATGAACAGAAAAATTGCCTAACAGAAAGTCTATAATTGTAGAACTGAGATAATGTAACATGATTTCTAACCAGGGTTATGCACCAATTGATTATGCCAACCAGCATCACCTCTTGGAAAAAATAGCGGATAAACCATAGGATCCAAGTTGGCTGACATACTTGATACAATTTTTAAAGGATGACCTCTTGGGTAAATAACAACTTCCCTGGAAGTTGGGGGAGCACCATCTTCGCCAACAAATACAACTGCAACTTCATCATGTGAAGGTAGATTATAACGACGTCTATCAACGCCTTCAAGTAAAGACATTTTCACAACAGAAGCTGAGCGACCTTCTATAGCCGCCTTACGAATTTCTTCATCTTCTACTTCAGCCATGTTTTTAAATGCAAGAGCAAATGGACTTTGTTCCATAATTATAGTTTGCAATTGAAACATTAAATCACGTAAACAAAGATCATTAGCATAATGTTGCATTCTAAAATTTAGTGCAGCAAGTGGATCATAAATATATCATAAATATATACGATTAACATTATCTCGATATAGCCTATTTCTTTCATTTTGGCAATGATTAACATTATCTCGATCGAGCCTATTTCTTTCATTTTGGCGACGATTAACATTATCTCGATCGAGCCTATTTTTTTCATTTTGGCGACGATTAACATTATCTCGATCGAGCCTATTTCTTTCATTTTGTAAACAATTAATTTCATCTCGCCTAAGTCTATTTCTTTCATTTCGTCTACGATTATTTTCAACACGCCTTATAGCACTTACATCATCTTGTAAATACAAAACTACATCTAGCCTATCATCCATTTCAATTTCATCATTTTCATTAAACATATTTATCAAAGCAACACTAATTATTTCTTTTTTTTTTACTAATCTAAAGTTAACAATAAAATAAAAAAACTTAATAACTAAAAAAATCATACTCGAAAAATTAAAAAAAAAAATTTTCAAAACAAATATATATAAAGAAACCAAACAAATGCAAAATAAAATTAATTTGCCCTCATCAAAAATAATACAGGTTTTTTAAGTTTATTTGATAGAAGTTAAGAAAAACCTGCAACCACATCAGCAAAAACTTATTAAAACTTATTTTATTTCTAATAAAAAAAAAAAAAAAATTGCGACAGCGTCATAGTTCATGCGTTGGGAGAAAACATTGAACAAAACACGTAATAAAACTTATTAATGCATTATTAATGCATTATGTACGATAGAAAACAGGTTATTAACGCGGGTTTATAAATTTTTTTCTCCTAACACACTATTATGCTGCCACAACTCCAAGGATATATATAGTTATATATAGTTATAATAAAAAACAGATATATATTGAAAAGTATTTTTATTTCTTTTTAAAAATTTAAAAATGCTTTTTAACTTATTATTATATAATTTATAGTAAATATTGATAAATAAACCTCTACAATTTCCTTGGTTTAACAACTTTTTTAAACTTGGTTTAAAAAAATTTCTAATAAATACATATTTAGATACCTTAAAATGAAGCATAACACAACACTCTTTTGACCAATTCCAGAAGAAATTTTCTTAATTTTTTTATTCCTTATTATTTTTCTTTAGAGAATATATATATGTAGATATAGAGAAATATAAAATAGACTGAAATAAATCGAAAACCTTAATTTATGTATGAGGAAATAACTTGAACTTACTAAAAAAGCGATCAGCTTCTCTTAACTGCTCTAAAAAATAAAACAAATACTGCTTAAAATGTTTTAAAAAGACTAACGACAAAACCGTTTTCTTAAAAAAGAAACATTGCACTAAAAAAACTATTTTACTAGTCAATTTAGTTCTAACTTATTCTAAAAAATGAAAAATAAATACATATTTAGATACCTTAAATGAAGAATAACACAACACCTTTTTGACAAATTCCAGAAGAAATTTTTTTTATTTTTCTATTCTCAATTATTTTTGCCAAGAGAAAATACATATATATACATAGCAAACTAACAATTATTTAAATTTTTATTTTAAAAAATAAACAACATTAATTCTTCTTGAAAATAAATGTATCAGCTCCAATTTGATTGCTGATTTTACTCGAATGACCGCGTGGAATATATAACCGCGCTTAGAAAATTCTAGAGGCAAAGAAATAGTGTGTTTTACATAATGCAGAACCGTAATTAACAAAACGAACAATAGGCGTAACAATGCGTAACTATGCGCATTAATAATAATAAAATTCATAGGCTATTCACTATAGGCGGATACACATAAAATAATTTGAAAAAAGTCATAAACATTAACAACATTAAAAACAATTTTTTTTTTTTTTTTTTTAAGCTATGGCTGATGAATCAAGATCTCAACCTCTCACAGGGAAAATAGATTTTATTAGAAATGTATATTATGTGATCATTGATACTCCTAAATGTCAACTTAGTTCGAGAAGACAAGCTTATGAAAAAATATCAGATATTTATGCGTGTATGCCCACAATGAATAAAACACCGAGTTCTATTGTTGTAAGAAACACATGTGAAACTTTGCCAAAATATTTTATTGATGATGTTGAAAACTCAAGTTTACTTATAGATGAGTGTATTCTTTTTTCAAATTAATTTCCACGGATAAAAATGTAAAATCTGTTCTCTCTATGTATAAGTACATCAAGACCAAAGAATTAGAGTGTATGTTTCCAAATTTAGAAATAGTTATGCGTATGTACCTTAGTATAGCAGTTTCAAACTGCTCAGGCGAAAGAGCTTTTTCTGTACTTAAAAGAGAAAAATCCTACTTGAGGTCAACCATGAAGGAGGAAAGACTGAATGCATTAGCAATATTTAGCATTGAAGCAGAATTGGTTGAAAAATTAGATTTTAATAATACTATTAACACATTTGCCCATCAAAAAGCAAGAAAAAGAAAAGTATAAAATAATGGTTTGTTACTTTTTGTAATATGATTATTTTATATTTTTATATATCTAAAATATATTTTGTTTAACTTTAATTTTATATTTTTACTTGTTTTCACATAGGTATTATATACATGTACATATTGATGTGGCTATTAAACCTAAAAGAAAGCTTTATTATTTATTCAAGTATTGAGTAGAGAAATGTGTACACTATTTTTTTTTAATTGGGGGCACGAAATTTTTTACAGCCTATGGGCACTATAGATCTTAATCCGGGCCTGTATGCAATGTAAACATTCTTTAACGGCGAAATAAATTACACCAAAAAAAAAAAAAATATATATATATATATATATATATATATATATATATATATATATATATATATATATATATATATATATATATATATATATATATATATATATTATACTCTCTATAATATAGGAAGGACTCGGACGCTTTCAACGGTTAGGGCACAAGGCATTGTAGATATAATGTATAAATACGCTGTAGATATGATACACAGATGTACACGTTGTTAGTTTTTTGTATTTCCTATTTTACTTTTATAAATTTCTGAATAGTCTTTGAATCTTCTATTATCATTATCATAAACGAAATGATTATTGAACTTTTATTTGTTAATAGTATGTATTTTTTAGTTTTTTAATCGGTTTTAAAGCTTATAAAGTTTAACTACCTCAAATGTTACTTAGGGTGGAATGCAAGAAGCGAACTTGAGTCAAGCTCGACTTGAACTTTACATTGTAACCATTAGCGACAGAGTATGGGTTTTACCCTCAAAAAATACTCTGCCGCTATTAGTTACAAAGTAAAGTTTAAGTCGAACTTGACTCAAGTTTGCTTCTTGCATTCCACCCTTAATGAAACGTGTTCTGTTTTATAGGTTTATTAAAACTGTATCATCGCAGGATGTTAGTTTTGTTAAAGCTAAAGTTGACCTTAATTAGTATTTTTGTAATTGGTTAATCTATTAATTGATAATTAATGATGCAGATGCAGAGGCGATTTTACAAATAAAATGATGGGGAAAGGGGGGAAACTTTGAAAAGTACCAAGTGGCGTCTTAAAAAAAAAAAGGTCTTCAAAATCCAAGTTGCCGACTAAATCCGTTAAAAACCTGACTATAACTTAAAAATCGCCTACTTAGGAGAGGAGGGTGTAACACCTACCCCCCGTAAAATCGTCTCTGTGCAGACGTACTCGGTGTAGTTAAGGCACTTTTAAAATATTATAAAGTCTGTATGATATTTTGTTGACCGTTAAATGGTCTGGTCTGTGAATTATGAAAAGACGAAAAAAATTAAAATAATAAATTTTGCGGTATCATAAAATAAAAATGTTTGTAGCGAAAAAACCCAGGCCATGGAATATTTTTTTTTTTTTTTAAATGATCTTAAAATCACAATCGCTCGTCCAAATTTAAATAAGATTTTATATTAATACGTTTTTTAGGTGAAATGAACATTATAGTTTAACAATATGATCTGTTCTGATCGTTTAATGGCAATTTTTTATAATTATAAGCATTTTCTTGGTCGGAATTCCAGTGTTTTTTGTGAAAATTGATAGAAATATTGTGTTTTGACAACTATATATAATTAATATAAGTCAGAACCAATTAGAACTAGGATCAGTAGTAAATTAGGAAACTTTTTAAAAAGATTTTAACTAAATTCATCTTAATGCCGATGAGCGGAATTGATCTAAAGACTCCAAAATAGTGTTCTTTAGATACATTATTACAGGTAGTAAAAAGATTTTGAAAATTATATATAAAAAAGAAAAGTTTCTTTAAATATCATAAAAACCTTAAGTAAAAAAAAATTATAACATTTAAAGATCTTTTTTGGGCATATTATGCTGACAAAACCATGCTAATTCCAAATAAAAGTATTCAAATATTTTGTAAATCGCCTTAACTACACCGAGTAATTAGTATATTTTTTGTAAATAAAACTTTTTTTCAAATAATTTGTTATGTTATGCATAAATAAATTGATTTGCATTTTTTAAATGTGAATCATTTTCCCCTTTATTTAATTCTATTAATTTTTTTAGATTAATTAGATGAAGTGTTTGTTCAATATAGCCATTCAACTAAAAACTATTGAAAACTTTTATGTTTTAATAAATATGTAAATAAAAATATCTTTTTTTTTTACAAAGCTATTTGGCATTTTTTTTAAAACCACTATCCAAAATGATTTGTATTTTATCTTTTGTATTTTATCTATGTGAACGAAAGCCTATGCAAATAACCTGTCAACTTCAAGTTATTTAAGTTATATCAAATTTTATAAATTTACTTTTACTTGAAAATTTCATTTCAGCGATATCTTTTTAATTTTGATTTATACCATTTATATGCTGTAAAGTTTAATGAAAGTCTATGGTTTATAAACAGTTTTAAAAGATGATAAAGCATGCTAAAGTGGTAAAAGTGTTTCGTGTGGCTTAAAATCCTTTTGCTAAAAATACTTTTTTTTTTAAGTTCTTTCTAATTTTCTAGAATAAAAAATAAAACATTTAAAAAATGCTATGGATATTATATGCATAACATATATAAAAACACTACATACTGTAACAAACGAAGGGGAAAGAGTTTTTTAAAAAGCTTTTTAAAATTTTTAAAAACATGAAAACACCATTTTTGCACATATGTCATGAAAGAGGTAATATAAGCACATAAAGTTTGTGTGCTTATTATTATTGTTTATGATAAACAACTTACGTTGTTAATGTGCTTAAGTAATTAGCTTGCGCGTTTATATGCCATTAAAAATGGCATATAAAATATGCCATTAAAGTTGGCATATTTTATATGCCAACTTTAACTTTCTTCAAAGTTAACGGAGCAAGAGACCTAATAAGCTGCAGATGGTCTGAAAAAAAAATTAATAGAAACTTATTGAAGAAAAAAATAATCAAGCCCCTTCCAGCTATTTTTTTTATATTTGTTTTTGTAGAAGTTATAAAGTATTAAACATAAATCGTTAACTCAAAACTAAGTTTTTAATATTTCACTCTTTTTTTTAAATTATTGAAATAAAGCAAAATTATTAAAATGGTTAAAATGGAATAGATTTAGAATGACCAGAATACTGGTCATGGTAAGTCCGCTATTCAACATATTTAAGTCATCTCATGTTTTTTTTAAATTTTTTAAACCGAGGGTAATTAATAAAGACATTAAAGCAGGTATTCTAAATCTTATTTAGACAGCTGCTGATATTTAATTAGTTGATAAATAGTGATTTGCGTAACGGCTACCGAAACGTCTAAAAAATTTAAAAATTAATTAAACCTTTTTTTGTTCAAAGCTTTAAAAAGCAAATAATGAGTATAGTTTTTGTATATGGATATAGTTATTTTTCTGCCGCCAACTAAAAAATAATGAAATAAGGAATATGTATAGAAGAGGTCGGTGTAGAATAGATTTACAAAGACCCGTATTTTACGGGTCCTGATTGCTAGTATAATTTAATTTAGTAATATATATTAATAATTTGATTATTCGATTAACTTTCTATAACTCTACTTCAGTAAAAGTCTCTCTTGTAAATCGAACTTTTTTAACTTCTGACGTGTAAAAATTTTGACTAACTCTTTTTTAACAAAACTTATTTTTACAAATTTTTACAAAATTTTTTTTTACAAATTTTTACAAAAACTCACAACATTCGAAATTTGAAAAAATTTCGAATGCTGTGAGTTTTTGAAAACGATTAGTGTAAATTATCTTCTACTGTTTAAAAAAAAATCATGGCATCAAAGAGACATAAAGAAAACAATTTTAAGCGGAGGTCACAGAACCAACAGGGAATCATAGACGCGCTTTAGAAAGTCCAAAACCGTGCTATGAAAACAATATCTTATATTAAACATAAAACCCCTGAGCAGAGAAAGCTATATTTGGCCTCACAAAACTCAAAGTGAGAAGAAAAAGAGGTGAATTAATCTAGGTTTTTAAAATCATGCACAAATTTGAAAAAATAAACTTCAACGTATCACTGAGTCGACCATCATCATCAAAGTACATTATGCAAGGTCATAATGAACGATTGGAACAATTTTCAATAATTGAAAAATTGTTGAGAATAGTAGTAAATATTTAAAACTATTGACCATTGAAATAAACTAAACTATTTAAGAATAGTTTCATTATCGCGTGTTTGTTATCGCGTGTTTGTCATCACGACAGCAGTAAACAAAAGCTTTTGAAACGTTGATATAATCAATAGATATGGTTTTCTTTATTGACGCCATTGACGCGATAATTCTATTGAATATTCGTTTAGTTATTAACAAAAATACCATTTTTAAAATTCTTTTTTTTATATATATTTTATTTTTTAATATACTTTGATTAATCCAATTTTCAGTATTTTAATTTTTTTTAAGTCATTGACGTAACATTTGTATAAAAAGTAATATCTGTATAAAACGTCATTAAAGTAATACCTGTTACAGTACATAACATAATTAATTTTTTTTAATTAAGTTTAGTTAATTCTCTTAATTGACGATTAACATTTTACTTTAAATACTTGTTCGAAAACTATTTTTTTATATTCAAATTTATTCAAATACATTTTTGGTTAGAGGTATATCAATTGCAACATGATCATGGTAGCGTGAAATATTTTTCTATTCCTGTTTTTTATTGTTATTTTTGTAGTTGTTGTTTTATTTTTAATGTTGTTTTTTCCAAACTATTCAGTAATTTAATAAAAGAGGTAACTAGTTTTGTAAACCATATTGGTCAAAACTAAGCTATTATTTAAGGGGGTGTCTAAAAGGCGGCGCGACGCGGGGCTGACAAATAGCCTGACTCGCAACGAAGTGTTGCTATATCGACTAACAAATAGCCTGATTCGCCACGAGTGCTGCTACATCAATTGAGGGTTTGGTTTGGGCAGACAGTTTATCAAATAAATAATTTGATAATACTGAGATAAATAATACTGAGGGGACAAAATGTTAATTTAAGTAAAAAAAAAAAAAAAATTTTTTACTTAAATTAACATTTTGTCCCCTCAGTATTATCTTATTCTATCTACAAATGTAATAAATAAAATGTTCTATCAAGTATACAAAAAAAAATTATTTGGGTAGCGCCGGAATTGAAGCCGGTTATTAGTCGGCCAGTATTAGTCAGTTATGCCGCCGTCTTTTAGTAGCCGGCGGAGCCGCGCCATGAAAAAAAGGTTTTTATTTTAATAAAAGTAATTTTTTTTGTTATATTTTTAATAAAAGTAATAATTATTTTGTTATATATGCAATTAAACGTCACTATAACAAAACCTCAAAACAAACTAAATAACTGAAAATGACTCAATGATGCCTTTTTTTTTCCGTTCTAGTAATTTTATGTAACAGTAGTATTTAAAATTATAAAATTTCTTATTTAATTATAACTCTTAGAATTTTTTGTTTATTTTCTGCTATGTTCTTTTTAGTTTTATCACCAAAATTTAGTAGTGTAAAACCATAAATATTACACAGAGGTTCTTGATGATATCTAATCAGGCCTAAAGGTTTGCCGACATTAACAATACATTTACTAAATTTTATTTTTCTGTCTTCAGCAAGAGTGCTCAATGAACGATGTTAGAGCTATACATGTCTGTTTGGCGAGGCCAAATAAAAAATTACTACATAACTTTTATAACTAAATATTTTATGCAATCAGCACGTTAAAACACATGTTTTTTTTAATTAAAAAATATTATAATCTTTTATACAAAAGAAACTCGCAAAAATAATTATAAACCAGAAATAGCTGGTGATTATGTTTAATTTTTTAATCTTTAGGCTCGTGATTGTTAAGCAAAAACTTATTTTCGTGACGACGCTGATTTTTTTTTAACTATTCTTGAGAACCTTTGTATGAAATTATTAACAGATTTTTGTGTAGGCAAAGTAACCATTTTTTGTGATATTACTATACACGGGGACTTATTTTAATATTGACCAGGTTATGTTTGGGGTTACTTTGAGGTTTTCTTTTGTTTACCATGCGTAATTAAAAAGTTTTGCAGTTTTTTATATAATTAAAAGATTGTCTGGTTTTTTTCATTCGTCTTCTGATAGGCCAGTATATACTTTTTTATGAGTGTTACGGGGTGACACTACCCTACCGGCATTTGTTTTTAAAAGTTGCTTTCTAAACGTTTTTTAAATGTCTTTTAAACGTTCTTTGGCTTTTTATTGTTTTGTCAATATTTTACTCTAGGGGAGATTGATCCATATTTTATTTCTTTTTCTTTTGGTTTTTTTTTTTTTTAAAGTTATATTTTAAATTAGAATCATTCAAGTCTTTTTTTTTAGTTCCTCTTCGTATTTTGGTATAGATAGATTAAATGAGTTTTGTGACAATCTGTCGCCAAAGGAGGTTAGGATTTGCTTAAGTTTTTGAAGAAGGCGGTTAGAATCAATGTGGAAGTAACGCAGCTTTTCAAATGTTTTCTTAAAAGGTTGATACCTATTTTTTGTATATTGAAATGTACGTCTAAGAAGGTAATCGCATGTAGTTTTTTCTGTATTATTCTTTTAAAACCAATTGTTTTAAAAACATCAATGATATTTTTTCGTACAAAATCAATTTGTAAGCCTTTTTTTTTGCGAACTACAATCAGACCATCGTCACGGTTAAGGCCGTCCCAAAAAGGACTTAGTTATCTTTTTGTAATCTTGTAAAAGGGTAAGGTATTTATTTTTTCCGACTTAAAACTTAGTCAGAAAAACGTATCTAGTATATGGTTACCACAAAATATTCTATACAACAACTCCATCAAAATGGAGCAAATCTCTATCAAAACATCCCATTGTGACATCAAGGCAGTTGTGCGTTAAGTTTCTTTTTCTCGTTACGTTATTTAAAAACAGCGTAGACTTTTTGAGATGGTTACTGATTCTAACTCTCTCTTCGCTGATATTTGTGCTGCCGCACAGTGGGGAAAAATAGCTTTAAAACTTGACAAAAGCATTTTTTTAACTCTAAAAAAAATCACTCGAAAAATTCTTTTAAAAAGCATAATACTCAAAGAAAAAAAAGCGTTTGTTACTTAATTTTATCTTTATACTTTTTATAATATTTTTTTTTCCAAATGCTGTTGCATCTTTAACCTAAAGCGCGCAACAGCAATTAAAAAAGTAAGTTATTAGTTTGATGGTTTTATCACCTGGTTTCTACTGATATATAGAAGACGCATTTTCCACTTATGCACGCAAAAGAGATCTTTGCGCTTAATAACAGTGTCGGATCCAGGAATATTTGAGGAAGGGAGGGGAGGAAGTTCAAATTCTTTTGTATTTTGTACCACATTTGCGTCTCTAAAAAAAAGGGCCTCAATTTTTACGATATTTCAAGATTTTGAGACCTAGTAGGTACCACCTCCTCCCTCCGTCACTGCTTAATAAAAAAATGTTTTACAATCTGCAATCATAGAGCTATTTTATAAAAAAAAGTATTTTTAGTTGTGTCAAGTTGATTACATAATCAAAGCATGCTGGTCTTCTCCATAAGCTTGCTTCATATGGTGTTTCTGGGAAAGTTTTTGAGATTATCAAATCATTTCTTTCTAACCGGTTTATTTAAGTCATCCTTGAAGGCCAACACTCTTCTTTATTTCCAGTAATTTCTGGGGTTCCCCAAGGTTCCATCCTGGGCCCTGTTTTGTTTCTTATCTACATAAACGATCTTCCTGACAACTTTTTATCTAAAGTAGCTCTTTTTGCTGATGACTTAACTTTACACTCCTGTCTTGACAAAAAGTCTTTTCTTTTCGATTGCCTAGAACAAACAGCTGATCTTGAATCCGATCTCACTTCAGTAATAGACTGGGATACACAGTGGCTTGTGATTTTCAACTCTAACAAAACCCAGTTGTTTACTGCAAACAACTACCGTAATATGGTCAACATTCCTATATTAATGAATGGCAATCCTCTTACTGAGTCGTCCTCTTTACGTCTTCTTGGATTATCGCTTCCTACTGACCTTTCATGGAAACCATATATACAATCGATTGCTAAATTAGCTTCTGCTAAGGTTGCTTCTCTTTATCGTGCTCGCCATTTCCTTACTTCTGATTCCATCTTCTACCTCTACAAATCTCTTATTCTTCCCTGTATGGAATACTGTTGTCATATTTGGGCTGGTTTTTCTAACGATTCACTTTCTCTTCTTGACAAGGTCCAAAAACGCATTGTAAATGTTGTTGGACCTGGACTATCTGCTAAGCTTGAGCCTCTTTTCCATCGTCGTAAAGTTGCATCTCTTTCTCTTTTCTACAGATACTATCATAGTCACTGCTCAAAGGAGTTATCATCTCTAGTTCCATCAACTAAAATTCATTCTCGTTTTACTCGTCATTCAGCTAAGTCTCATTCGTTTACTGTATCTGTCCCTGCAAGCTCTAAAAACTTTTATTCATCTAGTTTTTTTCCCCGCACTTCAATCCTTTGGAACTCTCTTCCATCTTCATGTTTCCTGACTCATACAACCTTCAACTTTTTAAGTCCGTCAACCGTTTCCTTGCTCTATAACTCTGTTCTTTTTTTTCCTAGTAACTCCCAACTTAATAGTGGTTGATTGCAGCCTTGTTGGGAGTGAATGCAAATAAATAAAAATAAAAAAAGTGAATTTTATAAAAAATAGTCAATAAAATTGAAATGTTTTAAATGCTGGTTTTTTACAAGTCTATTATTATATATTTTAAGCACTTAAAAATTATTTTAGCTTTTCCAAAAGTTAGCTGCAAATCTGGAATTGAAGAATCCTGGAAAAAAATCAAAACTTTTTACAAACTGCAGCTTTAACACTATAAAAACTTTTAACTCACACGCGAGTTAAAAACGGTGAAAAACACCAACTGCCAACTACAGAACCAATTTTGCTTGCTGCAGCGTTCAATTTGCTGATTTAGATTCTTAATGAATAATTTCTTAGGGGGGTTAGACACCACCCTACGCAGCCCCTCGGGACGGGTTTGAATAACTCTCACATACAATGATATATTATATAAATTTAGACTTTTATAGACTTCACTTTTCGGAATAAATTTATAACTTCATTTCATTTTTTATTTTTCGTCTAATAAAATCCTGCAAGTTAGACATCTAGTTTACATAATATGTCATTACTCGCATAATGTTTTCAAAAAGGGTGGATTTGCTCTAGAAGTTTTAAGCAAATCTTTTAAAAAACACTGACCAAATTATAATAGGGGAGACCGGGGCTAGTTGACTCGGTTTTTACTCTATGAGCTCTGTAGTCCTAACGGAACATTTTTTTTAAAAATATAAAAATGTAGTTTCGAAGAGTATGAATTTGGGTGACTTATAAAAGTTGCATTCATTTACAAAAAAAATATTTTGAGGCCTTTCTGGGCCCTCAAAAAAAAAAATTGCGCCAACTTACCCCACTCTGGGGTAAGTTGCTTATACTCAAGGGGTAAGTTGACTTGCAATAATAAAAGCTAAAGGTAAAGGTCCTATATAAATGTATTCCAATAATATTTTAACCCCCCGCCCCTTTTTTTTAAAAGAATCATAGCTGAAATATACTTTTATTAATATCATCAAACTTTTGGATCAAGTCATAATAACATTTTAAGCAATAAAAAGTAAATATAATTAAAAAATACAGTGACAAAACAAAACAGTGTTCCCAATTTATGGTTATACAATAAGAATTAAAACTTATATTGTATTATTACATGAATATTTTTAACTAATGGAGGCTAGCAGCAATTATTGCAAATGAAAAACAAAGATTTTCCGATTATTCATGGCTCGTGAGCCCAAAGGTGACATTGTTATAACACACACACACACACACACACACACACACACACACACACACACACACACACACATATATATATGTGTGTGTGTGTGTGTGTGTGTGTGTGTGTGTGTGTGTGTGTGTGTGTGTGTGTGTGTGTGTGTGTGTGTGTGTGTATGTTATAACACACATAAGTATATATGTGTGTGTGTATATAACACATACTAATATATATTAGTATGTGTTATACACACACACTCACACACACATTGTATTAGAATGTTTTATAACACATACTAATACACAGTTATAAAATATAACTTATATGTTTTTTAAGATCATTGAGCACTCTATTTGTAAATAATAACACTAACATAATTTTTATATACAATATACAATATATATATATATATATATATATATATATATATATATATATATATATATATATATATATATATATATACACTGACCTGTCTAGATTTTATGTAACCTGATATTTGCTGACCATGACGTTGTTGCTTTTTGCAGTATCGGGACAAACTATTTTTAAGGAATATTAAAGTCTTTGGCTGTTTTTCGTATAGATTTTCCTTCTAATAAAACAGCATCAACAGTATTTTTTATAACATTTTAAGGAGGTATAGTCCGCTTTTTTTTTCTTTTAAAGTTTCGCATGTAATATATGTGATTTATCTATCTAATCGATTTTTAAAAAAATAAATCAAAAGTTATAGAAAAAGTTGAAATTTATGTCAATCGCAACCGGGTTTAGTTGATATATACGGCCAACTTGCACCGCCAAAATTTTGCCAAAAACCCCGATAGCTATTTGGTCACAAACTCCCCTACCGATCCCTGAAAAACGTATATAAATAAAAATTAATGGTTGGACAGATTTTACTGAACCATGCAAGATAAAACTCAAATCAAGTTTAGGTGTACTTGATGAAATTGCTTTTAAAAACCGAAAAAATAAAGAAGTTGTAAAAGTTACAAAAATGTGGAAAAAACGCATAAATCACAATATTTTTATGCGCATGCGCAAATCGCCACAATACTACAGTAAAAGATGAAATGGTCAACTAAGAAGGTTTCCTGAAATTATTGGCACTTTTTGATGAAAGACTTTGCAGATAAACGCAATTCGTCAACTTACCCCTCCTGCCAACTAGTCCCGGTCTCCCCTATATGTTCATATAATTTATGTTCATAAAAAAAATTTAATCAAGTTTAATAGCTACATTTTTTTAACTATCTTAACATATTTAAAATTTACGTAAATGTTAAATATGTTAGGACAGTTATGAACTAATGAAGCATTAAAGTAACATAGTTACTAACAAAGTCTTTTAAAATAAACGTGTCTTATAAGCGAGTACAGGGTCAACTCGAGTACAGGGTAAGCGAGTACAGGATCACAAGGTTGTGCTACAACTAGTATATTTTGTCAAGATTTCGAGCTAAATAATTTTTAAGACATTCCCAATAGTTTTTAAAAATTTTTTTGTTGTCTTGAGTGTCTTGAGTGCTTTTGCTAAGTAAGTTTGCGTATATTATTTTTATTTATTAATTTTTTTTTATAGAATAATAAGAAGAAGGTAGGAACAACTTTAACTGATCACATTGAACATAACAATAAGAAAAACGAATATATATGTACGATTCGTGATGAACGTAAAATTGAAGCAAGTTCTTGTTTAGACACATCAACTGAAAGTAGGTTTTTTTTTGTTGTTGTTGTCATTTAACTCTAAATTTTGTGCATTGCAAAATTTGATTTAAGTTAAAATATTTACACTCATCTCTTTTAAAAGTTAGTTGAGGTGTTTTTATATATTGAAGTTGATGTGTTTTTATATATCTTAAATTAACTATATTTTTTAAAATCTATAACATCTCACATGATCAAAATAATTAGGCTCAAAAATGTAGGAGACTGTTTTTAATTAAAATTATTGTTTTATTTAATTGTAACTTTTCAATAACTAGCCTTTTAAATTTTTTCCTATTAAAAAAATATTTATGGGGAAAAAAATAAAAATAGAATGACTACTTTCAAAGAGGAAACCTTACCACATACACAAGGCAAACGCAAATGTTTATAAATCAATGATATATTACTGCGAACTTGCAATTGCTTTGTCAACCTTAACTTTACGGAAATGCTACGTGTTATTTTCAAATCAATTAAAAGACTTCTTCTTCTAATCTCAAAGATATGTAAATGATTTGTATAATTTTAACAGTTGATAAACTTACAATAAGGAGCGCTTGCTTAACAGAACAAAAAGATCTAGTTAAAAACTTGTGTTTAAATTTTGTTTATTATATACTATTAACACACATAATTTAGAACTAGAAATCAAAACTGCTTGCTCAAGCTCTCTCGTGCTCCCTTGTATGAGATTAGAACTTGCAAATAAATTTTTTTTTTAATTAAATTGGTAAAAAACTCTATAATGAGTGTAGAACTATTGAATAGTTTACCAATTTCAAAATTCTTTTTCAATTCTATTCGTATTAGTTTTGCTATTTAGTTTGGGGAAACAGGTTGATAGCATTTTTATTTTAAATTGAAATGTAAACTATGTCGTGGTAAAATATATAAAATTTTTTATTTATTTTCTATTAATTTGTAACTCCCTCAAATTGAGCAAAGTTCAAATTTTGTGAGTTCATAATTTTTAAACGCTGAGAGAGATTATACTATGAAACTTAATATTTATTAATATATATAAGTCTAATTAAAAGAAGTAAAAAAAAAAATTTTTATTAGCGTATTGCTATTACGTTTAGGGCAGGAAAGAGGGCTAAAATTTTTGGAGACTTTTGTTCCCAGGCTCCAATCATAGCAATTTTTTGCAAACCATTCTTATTTGACGTAAGTATAATTACTAAAAATAATTGAAGCCCATGTCTAAAAGTTGTCCATTAATTACGTACCTATTTTATAAAATAGGGGGAGGGAGAATCTGACAATTGTAAACAAGGGGATGAGGAGACCAAGAAAAGTTGACGTCAACAAATTTACTTTTTTAAATAAATTTAATTACTTAAAAAAAGGAAAAAAAGAGGTTTTTTTAATTTTATTTGGAGGAAGAGAGTGTTATCAAAAGTAGGTATAAATTTGTTGGGGGTTTCTCTAAGTTTGACATGTTATCGACAAGGAGGGATTGCCAAAAAGTTTTTGACATAATTAATTGACATTCGCTTATAATATTTGTTAATTTACACATATTTTCATAGCATAAAATCTTTTAATATTTTTGCTTTTAATATTTTTACTTTTATTACATTTATACTTTTTATTATGAGTTTTTGAAGAACTTTTCCACACAAAAGTCTATGCGCATTATTTGAAGTTTTTTTTTGAATAAATAATGTTTCATCCTTTCATTGTTATATGAACAAAAGTTTATATAACAATGAAAGGATATTGTATACAAGTATCTAAATAAATAGCAAACAAATATGTTCATACCCATAGTATGTATGCAAAAAATGCATCTTGGACGCTTTTATTCCTTCCTTTTAGTTTTAAGTCAAGTCTCATTCTACTCCACGTTTTTCAACATTTTTTCATCTTTTTTCATCTTTTTTAAAAGAACATCTCTCTTAAGAATAAATGTTTTATTACTGCAATAAGCTAATGTATAAATTAAGTCCTGTCAGATAAAAAGCTCTATCATTCTCATTTACTAAATTTTGTGTCTCTTCTCAGATGTTAGGTTCTAGAGACTTTTGGTTTGTTTTTGAAAATGTCATTGACTAAAATAAGTCTAAAATTTAATCTCTAATTTATGGTCTGATCATTTTACTTTGTCCACCGAATAAAGCAGAGTTTTTTGCAAATCCTACTCTGATATGACTCTCAAATATAATGGCTATACTCTTCGTGACAGTTAATAGATTAACCCATTGCTAAACATCCCTTTCCCTCTGGCTTCCATTATTAAAATAATTTCTCAATTATACACTTTTACAGTTTATGCTTCAGACAAGATTTCCATCATAGTCTTAAAAAAGTGTTCTCCAGAACTCTCTTCAAATTTTGCTTAATTTTCAACAAAAGCTAAATAAGTTGCTCCACTTTTTCAAAACTCTAGAAAACACTTTGACCTCTTAAACTATCCTAGGATTGGTCTTCACTCTGTCATTTACTTTTTATAAGGTTTTGAGGTCATAAAATTATTTCTTTCTAACTGCAGTAGTAACCCAGTGGGAAAAAAGACTTATATAAGTCTTATAAAGACATCGTAAATAAGACTTATTAAAAGTCATATTTACGATGTCTTTAAGACGTCTTTATTTTATCGATTACGCAAATCTAAAAGACATCATTTTTCGAAATCAAAAAGACGTCTTTTTTTATCTTAATCTTGTCATGAAAAGGGGCTGTCCATTAATTACGTCAACAAAATAGGGGGAGGGAGGATCTGCATTTTTTTGACAATTGTTGACAAGGGAGAGGGGGGATAGATCAAGAAAAGTTGACGTCAATACTTTTTTTTTTGAACATGTTACTTTTTTTTATAAATTTAACTGTTTCGAAAAAATAAAATTAGGCAGCGTTTGCAGTCCTGTGTTATATAGTCGCTCAACCTTCAAAATTTTAATTGCTATTCTATAATTTATATTCCTACTTTTTTTAAACTGTTTTGTGCTTTAAAATGACCCGACATACAGAACTAAATAACTATACACAAGATGTTTACTCGTAACGTTATTTTTTCAAAATTGTTTGTTTCAGTCTGCTGTGTATTCAAAAAAGATTCATGTAAGTACATTGTCTGCATTACATTGTTTAAACTTTTATGCAAAGGGTGCAACCTGCAGCTTGCAAGCCTCTTGTGATTTTTTTGATATTAAGATGAAGCTCTTTAACTGCATCTTGATATCGAAATTTTATTATCTTGACATACACAAATATTTGTTTGTTAACATGAAAGTTGTTAACAAACAAATAAAAATTTGTTTATTAAAACTATAATAAGCAAATTATGATTTGCTTATTTAGTTAAGTTGTTTAAGTTAAACAACTTAAGTTGTTTCCCAGTGGTAAACGTTAGTGATATTTTCCCTCCCTCTCCCTAAAAAAAAAAAACTTCTACTGGGTGTTGTTTAATTTAACATTTAAATGAAAATTTTGTCATTTCTTTTTTTAAAGGTCATCGATATAAAAGATGTCTTTTCTACGCCTTGTTAAAGACGTACAACCGATTGACTTCTTTTCGACCTCATTTTTGAAGACGTCTTTTTAAAAGACGTCTTTTCTACGTCTTTATTTAGACTGATTATAAATTAAAGTCATAAAAATGGCGTCTTTTATTCGTCTAAAGATATCTTTTTTTCCCTCTGGGAAAGCTATTCTTGAAGGTCTATCCTCTTCTTTATATCATATATCTTTAAGGTTACAACAAGGCTCTATACTTGCTCTTGCATTTTTTCTTATCTACAATAACAGTCTTAATAAAATCTATAGTGGCGTTTTTTTTTTAATAATTATATTTTTTATTTGTTGACTACTAAACTTTACACTCTTGTCTTGACAAAAAGTTCACTTTTTGATTGCTTTGAACAAGCAGACAATTTTTGGCTGCTTGTTCTAAGCAATTAAAAGATGAAGACTTTTTGTAATAATAAGAAGCTTTGGATTTAAATACTGGACTTAAATATAACAATTTTTGTTAGACGACAAAACTCATTTGTTTATTGCAATAAAATAATTCAAAATTGTTGGCATTCCTATATTGACGTATAACAACCCTCTTACTCTCAGACAAAGTCTAAAAGCACATTGTAAATGTAATTAGACCTGCATTATCTGCCTAGCTTGAGCCACTCTCCCATTGTTATAAGGTTGCATTTCTTTCTTTTTTGTACAAATACAATCATGGTCAATGTTTAAGCGAGCTATCATCTCTATAACAATAAACCAAAACTTATTCTTGCTTGGCTATTTATTCAACAAGTTGAATCCTTTTACTGTATTTGTCCCTTCATTCAATAAAAAACTTTTTCCAGCATAATAGTAAATCCAGTTTTTTTCCTTAAACATCAAAAATACCTTAAAACTCTTACCCAACTTCATGTTTTCCTTTTTTACACAACTTACAACTTGTTATGTCTTTAGTTATACGTTTCCTAGTATTTTAACTTATCCTCTATTTTAAAGTAACTCATTACTTAATAGTGGTTGAATGCAATCTTGTTGGAAGTAAATTAGAGTTTAAAAATACATAAATGTATGCCAGTATTTAGTAAATATTAAATGTAAGCATAAAATTATAATAGATTAAGATTATAATTTTTTTTCTAGCCCCGGCTATCAACCCCTGCAAAATCTTATAATTTTGCCGGGGCCGGGTTTGCACAAGTCTTATTTTTAGCAGGGGCCTAGACCCCGGTTGCTTACCAGTTTAAAAAACTATATGGGTAGTTAAAATAGTAACTGGATAGCTCGGTTGGTTAGAGCGTCACCGTCAACTCAGCGCTTGTGTATTACTATGGTACCAAAAATGTTAATCGATTCCGAATGCTTCTTTGGGGATATAGAAACAGCCACAAACAGTCAGTGTGACTATTTGTAGCTGTTTCTATCCCATTTGGTATATCTACCCAGGAAAAAAATTCTATAGAAATTCTATAAACTTTTGAAACATGTGGCATATAGAAATTCTATAGAATCTCTGTTAATTTCTATAGAAATTTCTATA